AGACTAGAGCCTAAATCTAGCGCCTTGGACCACTCAGCCACACTACCATGATTCTAGAACAGATGCGACAAGGTATTGGCAAAACTTTACATAACTGTAAATTGAAAACAGAGTGAGGAACATCCTAGAACATGCTATAAAATCCTCCGCATCATGACAAAGTAAATATGACCAAATGTTTCACCAAACAGTTCAAATTTTGGCAACTTTCTTAAAAAGAATATTATTCAGGTCAAGATTGGCAGTGGTGGGATTTTAACCCATGCCTCTTTTGAGATTGGAGCCTAAATCCAGCGCCTTAGACCACTCGGCCACACTACCATGGAGCTGGAGTAGATGCGACAAGGTATTGCCAAAACTTTATATAGCTGTAAATTAAAAACAGAACGTGTAACGTCCTAGAACAAGCTATAAAATCCTCCGCATCAAGCCAAAGTAAATAAGACCAAATATTTTACCAAACGATTCAAATTTTGGCATCTTTCTTAAAAAGAATATTATTCAGGTCAAGTTTGGCAGTGGTGGGATTTGAAAACATGCCTTTTTTGGGACTGGAGCCTAAATCCAGCGCCTTAGACCACTCGGCCACACTACCATGGAACTGGAGTAGATGCGACAAGGTATTGGCAAAACTTTACATAACTGTAAATTAAAAACAGAACGTGTAACGTCCTAGAACAAGCTATAAAATCCTCTGCATCAAGCCAAAGTAAATAAGACCAAATATTTCACCATATAGTTCACATTTTGGCCACTTTCCTAAAGAGAAATTTATTTAGGTCATATTTGGCAGTGGTGGGAATTGAACCCATGCCTCTTTCAATTATGGCAACTTTCTTAAAAAGAATATTGTTCAGGTCAAGATTGGCAGTGGTGGGATTTTAACCCATGCCTCTTTTGAGATTGGAGCCTAAATCCAGCACCTTAGACAACTCTGCCACACTACCATGGAGCTGGAGTAGATGCGACAAAGTATTGCCAAAACTTTATATAGCTGTAAATTAAAAACAGAACGTGTAACGTCCTAGAACAAGCTATAAAATCCTCTGCATCAAGCCAAAGTAAATAAGACCGAATATTTTACTCAACGGTTCAAATTTTGCCATCTTTCTTAAAACAAATATTATTTAGTTCAAGTTTGGCAGTGGTGGGATTTGAACCCACGCCTCTTTTGAGACTGGAGCCTAAATCCAGCGCCTTAGACCACTCGGCCACACTACCATGGAGCAGGAGTAGATGCGACAAGGTATTGCCAAAACTTTACATAACTGTAAATTAAAAACAGAACGTGTAACGTCCTAGAACAAGCTATAAAATCCTCTGCATCAAGCCAAAGTAAATAAGACCAAATAGTTTACCAAACGGTTCAAATTTTGGCATCTTTCTTAAAAAGAATATTGTTCAGGTCAAGTTTGGCAGTGGTGGGATTTGAAACCACGCCTCTTTTGGGACTGGAGCCTAAATCTAGCGCCTTAGACCACTCGGCCACACTACCATGGAACTGGAGTAGATGCGACAAGGTATTGGCAAAACTTTACATAACTGTAAATTGAAAACAGAATGTGTAACGTCCTAGAACAAGCTATAAACTCCTTTGCATCAAGCCAAAGTAAATAAGACCAAATATTTCACCATACAGTTCACATTTTGGCCACTTTCCTAAAGAAAAATTTATTCAGGTCATATTTGGCAGTGGTGGGAATTGAACCCATGCCTCTTTCAAGCCTGGAGCCTAGACATCCTAGAACAAGCTAAAAAAATCATATGCATCATCTAAATAAAAACAAATATTTCACCAAACTGTTCAAATTTTGGCAACTTCCTTGGAAAGAAACAGTTCAGGACAAATTTGGCAGTGGTGGGATGTGAACCCACGCCTCTTTTGAGACTGGAGCCTAAATCCAGCACCTTAGACCACTCGGCCACACTACAATGGAGCTGGAGGAGATGCGACAAGGTATTGCCAAAACTTTATATAGCTGTAAATTAAAAACAGAACGTGTAACGTCCTAGAACAAGCTATAAAATCCTCCGCATCAAGCCAAAGTAAATAAGACCAAATAGTTTACCAAACGGTTCAAATTTTGGCATCTTTCTTAAAAAGAATATTATTCAGGTCAAGTTTGGCAGTGGTGGGATTTGAAACCACGCCTCTTTTGGGACTGGAACCTAAACGTAGTGCCTTAGACCTCTGGCCAACAGTACCATGGAGAATTGAAAACAAGAGTGTGGAACGTCCTGGAACAAGCTACAAAATATCGTGCATCAAGTAAAAAAAAAAAACAAATATTTCCCAAACTGTTCAAGTTTTAGGATCTTCTTTTTAAAGAATCAAATCATGTCAAATTTGGCAGTGGTGGGATTTTAACCCATGCCTCTTTTGAGATTGCAGCATAAATCCAGCACCTTAGACCACTCGGCCACACTACAATGGAGCTGGAGTAGATGCGACAAGGTATTGCCAAAACTTTATATAGCTGTAAATTAAAAACAGAACGTGTAACGTCCTAGAAAAAGCTATAAAATTCTCCGCATCAAGCCAAAGTAAATAAGACCAAATATTTTACCAAACAGTTCAAATTTTGGCATCTTTCTTAAAATGTATATTATTCAGTTTAAGTTTGGCAGTGGTGGGATTTGAACCCACGCCTCTTTTGAGACTGGAGCCTAAATCCAGCGCCTTAGACCACTCGGCCACACTACCATGGAACTGGAGTAGATGCGACAAGGTATTGGCAAAACTTTACATAACTGTAAATTGAAAACAGAATGTGTAACGTCCTAGAACAAGCTATAAACTCCTTTGCATCAAGCCAAAGTAAATAAGACCAAATATTTCACCATACAGTTCACATTTTGGCCACTTTCCTAAAGAAAAATTTGTTCAGGTCATATTTGGCAGTGGTGGGAATTGAACCCATGCCTCTTTCAAGCCTGGAGCCTAGACATCCTAGAACAAGCTAAAAAATCATATGCATCATCTAAATAAAAACAAATATTTCACCAAACTGTTCAAATTTTGGCAACTTTCTTGGAAAGAAACAGTTCAGGACAAATTTGGCAGTGGAGTTATTTGAACCCATGCCTCTTTTGAGACTGGAACCTAAACGTAGAGCCTTAGACCTCTGGCCAACAGTACCATAGAGAACTGAAAACAGAGTGTGGAACGTCCTGGAACAAGCTACAAAATCTTGTGCATCAAGTAAATAAAACCAAATATTTTACCAAACTGTTTAAGTTGTGTGAACTTCTTTTTAAAGAATCAAATCATATCACATTTGGTAGTGGTGGGATTAAAACCCACACCTCTTTCGAGACGGGAGCCTAAATCTAGCACCTTGGACCACTCGGCCACACTACCATGGATCTAGAACAGATGCGACAAGGTATTGGCAAAACTTTACATAACTGTAAATTGAAAACAGAGTGAGGAACATCCTAGAACATGCTATAAAATCCTCTGCATCATGACAAAGTAAATAGGACCAAATGTTTTACCAAACAGTTCAAATTTTGGCAACTTTCTTAAAAAGAATATTATTCAGGTCAAGATTGGCAGTGGTGGGATTTTAACCCATGCCTCTTTTGAGATTGGAGCCTAAATCCAGCGCCTTAGACCACTCGGCCACACTACCATGGAGCTGGAGTAGATGCGACAAGGTATTGGCAAAACTTTACATAACTGTAAATTAAAAACAGAACGTGTAACGTCCTAGAACAAGCTATAAAATTCTCCGCATCAAGCCAAAGTAAATAAGACCAAATATTTTACCAAACGGTTCAAATTTTGGCATCTTTCTTAAAATGCATATTATTCAGTTTAAGTTTGGCAGTGGTGGGATTTGAACCCACGCCTCTTTTGAGACTGGAGCCTAAATCCAGCGCCTTAGACCACTCGGCCACACTACCATGGAGCTAGAGTAGATGCGACAAGATATTGCCAAAACTTTATATAGCTGTAAATTAAAACAGAACGTGTAACGTCCTAGAACAAGCTATAAAATCCTCCGCATCAAGCCAAAGTAAATAAGACCAAATATTTCACCATACAGTTCACATTTTGGCAACTTTCCTAAAGAGAAATTTATTTAGGTCATATTTGGCAGTGGTGGGAATTGAACCCAGGCCTCTTTCAATTTTGGCAACTTTCTTAAAAAGAATATTATTCAGGTCAAGATTGGCAGTGGTGGGATTTTAACCCATGCCTCTTTTGAGACTGGAGCCTAAATCCAGCGCCTTAGACCACTCGGCCACACTACCATGGAGCTAGAGTAGATGCGACAAGGTATTGCCAAAACTTTATATAGCTGTAAATTAAAAACAGAACGTGTAACGTCCTAGAACAAGCTATAAAATCCTCCGCATCAAGCCAAAGTAAATAAGACCGAAAATTTTACTCAACGGTTCAAATTTTGGCATCTTTCTTAAAATGAATATTATTCAGTTCAAGTTTGGCGGTGGTGGGATTTGAACCCACGCCTCTTTTGAGACTGGAGCCTAAATCCAGCGCCTTAGACCACTCGGCCACACTACCATGGAGCTAAAATAGATGCGACAAGGTATTGCCAAAACTTTATATAGCTGTAAATTAAAAACAGAACGTGTAACGTCCTAGAACAGGCTATAAATTCCTCCACATCAAGCCAAAGTAAATAAGACCAAAAATTTTACAAAACGGTTCAAATTTTGGCATCTTTCTTAAAAAGAATATTATTCAGGTCAAGTTTGGCAGTGGTGGGATTTGAAACCACGCCTCTTTTGGGACTGGAGCCTAAATCCAGCGCCTTAGACCACTCGGCCACACTACCATGGAACTGGAGTAGATGCGACAAGGAATTGGCAAAACTTTACATAACTGTAAATTAAAAACAGAACGTGTAACGTCCTAGAACAAGCTATAAAATCCTCTGCATCAAGCCAAAGTAAATAAGACCAAATATTTCACCATATAGTTCACATTTTGGCCACTTTCCTAAAGAGAAATTTATTTAGGTCATATTTGGCAGTGGTGGGAATTGAACCCAGGCCTCTTTCAATTTTGGCAACTTTCTTAAAAAGAATATTATTCAGGTCAAGATTGGCAGTGGTGGGACCCATGCCTCTTTTGAGATTGCAGCATAAATCTAGCACCTTAGACCACTCGGCCACACTACAATGGAGCTGGAGTAGATGCGACAAGGTATTGCCCAAACTTTATATAGCTGTAAATTAAAAACAGAA